CATTTAAAAATATTTTTCTTAAGGCTTATTATAGGTGTAAAGCCGGTAAAGAGCGTGTCAATAATATGGAAAAAATTTTAAAACAATTTTTTTGTATTTAAAATAATTTTTAATTCAACGTTATTTTAGACATCGACGAAAAACTATTGATAAAATGATAAATTATTATATAGATATGCAAATCCTATAAGTCTTATGCCCTAATAATAATATATTAAAAATACACCTATTGTGTGGATGTAATATTGACAAAATATTATGGTAATATAATTAAATAATGAAACACTATTCAACTAGACTTCTATTATAGGCTGGTAAAATGGTAAGAGAACGAACGATGCTAAATTTGTAAATAAAACATTATAACAATAGACTGTAGACTTTTGTTACCTGTATGCATCTAGTGATTAGCTCATAGTTCGTGAAATACTGAACCGTAGTCGTAGTTACGTAGTACGTACAGACTACAGATAGTTCGGATGACGCGAATGCGCGACGCCACGACGGACACCTGGACTTTCTGATTTCAGTCAGGTTTAGAATATTGTTTAACAGACTAAAATATATATAGGTAATRTAAAAAGTCTAGTACGTATTATACCTCAGCAAATCACATTGATTTGGAAGACACAGAATCAGGTAATATTATTCAAGGACAATGGCGTCAAATTGGTGAAATGGTTCCTCTACAAGCGACTTCAAGTTATACACCTCGAAATGCCAAACTAGTAAGAGACAAGTACAAACAATATTTTAACAACGAAGGAAAAGTATCTTTTCAAGAAAAGATGATACATTGCACATAAATTATAATATATATTGCTAATAAGATAAAAAAAAGTTTTCAATACCTATTTTAAAATTGTTTAATGTAATATAATAAGTAATAACTCAATTGATTGTATGCTATATACCTTTATAATTTTATAAACAATATTATTCAGAAAAACAAAAAAACAAAATGTATTTAATATATATTAAAACTATTTAATGCAACAAAATAATAATAAACTTGATTGATTGTATAATATATATTTTATTATATACAATCATTATAACTTACAACTTATAAGTAATAAAATAAATAACTGTACTTTGGATTTTATTTTAATAATTAAAATAAATTTAACAATGTTAACTACGTAGCTTTAAGAAAAAAACATATAAACATAAAAAAGTTTACTTATTAAGAACTCACATCAGGATCAGTATCATTTGCAAATAATGAATTTTTACTCATGTCCAAATGAGCACGGTTATCATGTTGGGTGGGTGGCATACCAAACTCGAACGAATGTTGTTGAATATTATGACCCGAATTTATTTTGTGTTGAGAATCATCGTGCTGAAGATACTGAGTTTGTAGTTGATAGGGGTATGTATTTTCTAACATATATTGACGTGGTTGATTATAAATACTTGACTGAGGTGGTGGTATTTGTTGTTGAACATTTTGTTGCGTGTTAAATGTAGGCCGTATAATATTATTATTTTGAGCTGAGTGAAACATAGAGGATGCGTTTATTGTTGACTCAGTGAATGAAACGTTAGTATTATTAAATTGGAAACAGTTTTCAGTCAGTTTATCCATTCTACCGTAGTACATAACATCACTAATTATTTTTTCAGCCAGAAGCATTTGATTTTCTTTCATACCTCTTAACTGCATAGCAAATCTCTTACCAATAATATCACACTCATCATCTTCTTTAAGTGGAGCATTCAACGCCTTCATAGTTTCGCTARCAATATCTATAAAATCCCTTTTTTTTGCAATGAAACTTTTTTGTTTTTTTGGAAGACTAGGACTAGGACTAGGGCTAGAAATCTGTCGAGCAACACTTTGTGTGTGTTCAGTCTCAGATGATACTGATTGATTACATTCATCCACAATAATATCAGTTTCAGTCATATTCTGTGAAAACAATTAAATTAAAATTTTTCAACATGAGTGATTTTATATTATTCTTAAAGAAAATTTTTTTAGGTTACAATTTTATACAATTTTCAATCATTTTTGTTTTATAATAACTAATAAGTAATAACTATTTGGTCAGTGATTTAAAGAAAATATAATATTAATATTCAGGTGTTGTGTATAGAAAAAAAAATTCGTTAACCCTTTAAGTCCCAAATTATTATTTTTTTGGTTCATGTAACAAACAAATAAATTCGATTTCGTACCTTGTAATTTATTACATTTGTCATTAATGTCGAAGTTATATTCTAATTTCTAGCTGATAATAATTTACGAATTGTTAAAATRCATTGCCTCTACGAGGCCAAGGAGACTGAACACTGAAAGGGTCAAATCGTTTCATTAAATAATTTAATATTAATGTTAATGTATTATTATAGACATTAAATGCCATTTTGGTATGTCCAATATTTTTTAAACTTTTGCTATGCGTCCTTATTTTGTTAACTGTTTTGTTTCGTTTTTGTCTGWATAAAATAATTGAAATTAAATACTTACTGAAAATGTGACACTATCATCGTTGCTGGATATTCCCTCTCTTCCCGTTTCATGCTCAAGGGTAAACGAAAGAAGATCAAAGTACCACAGCGTTRGTGAATATATGTCTTCGGTAGAGGATCCTGTGCGTTTACTCGATCGCACTTTTGCCAGCTCCYTTCTGTATGCTGTCCTCAAATTATTTATTTTTTTTTAAACAAACGCTTCGTCAGCTTCGGGATTTTTCTCTTGACATTTTTTAACAAGCGCCTCAATGCCTTTATTTCGCAGGTGTTTATTTTTAGCAATTTCACTTTTTACATTCCATAACGCCGGATGATTTTTATACTCATCGATGAATTCGGCAATAAATTTTTTATCGAATTCCATAGTTATCGTGAATAATTGCACAAAATTTAAATGAACTTCAATTTAATATTAATGAACCGAATGTAATCAAGTCACATTCACTATAGCAGGATAMAACTTTGTAAACGCGTGRATGCGCGGTTGATATCGACAATACCATACACGCACCAACAGGTTTGTCGACAGGTCGGCGGTTGTCGCGTTGACGCTCCGCGAGCGTCAACCGGCAGACACGACGACACGACGGCCAACCAGCCCATACACGTATCAATCTGTCTATGCGACGGCGTTTGACGATAAATCTGTCGATAAATTGTTTCGTGTATGGCTCGCTTTACCGACGCTAAGACATTTCTGATGATAGATTTGCATTTATTGTCCCCGCATAAAACTACTCAACACACTGGGATGTGCGAGATATGGGTGCCATGACGATACACGATTATGACCCATTATGTTTATCTGTTATGAATATTATCTAAATCTATACCTATATATTGTTGTATATCCGATATCGCACTATGCACACGCTTACTCAGTACGGCACTCTCCACGGTCGTGTTTTGTTCTCTCCGTGTACGGAGAGTTACGATGCCAAGAAGAAGACGATCTGACTTAGGTCGTCGCAGTCAATCAAATGTGCGAAGAGCTACCTCACGTTTTAACCGCACTGATGACCAGACAGATCAAGAAAATAGTCATATTGCTTTAGTCAGTGACAATGAAATAGATAGGCTTGGAATTCGTGCACAACAACAGCTGCAAGCACGAAATAATGAAATTGAGCGGTTCCGGAGGAACAGGAAACACGTTCTTAATTTCATTGTTTTTGGTGAGGATCAGATCGCAAAGTAATGTAGCTCTAGCGTTGGTTTCATCTGGAATAGCTGCGACTCTACTAGAAGGCGGATGAACTGCACATTCTGCCTTGAAATTAATATTAAACATGCAAATCAACGAAACACCAATTTGAAACATATACAAAAATAGCGCAATGGCTAAGATCCTACAGGTATGCAAATTGATTATTTGGGATGTATGCACAATGGCCCATAAGAGGTCACTGGAGGCGCTGGACAGAACGTTGAAAGATCTTTGTGACAACCAAAATATTTTTGGATATGATTCATGACCATGAATCCATGATTCTGTTATCAGGTGATTTTCGTCAGACTCTTCCAGTCATTCCCCGATCAACTGTTGCTGATGAACTAAACGCATGGCTGAAATCATCAAATTTGTGGCGGTTTGTTAATACACTCCAATTAACAACTAACATGCGAGTATTTTTGCAACAAGATGAAACTGMAAATGTGTTTTCGAAACAGTTGTCAGACATTGGAAATAATAAAGTCGACACCTCGACCGGATTAATCACATTACCCACAGATTTCTGTCATATCACAGACTCCAAAGAAGAGCTTATTCAGCATGTTTTCCCAGATATAGCGCAACAGTTCAATAACCATAATTGGCTAGGTAAACGAGCTATATTAGCGGCAAAAAATAAAAATGTCGATGCTTTCAATGCAACCATTCAGAATTTTTTACCGTGACATTTGGTTTCCTACATTTGGACACCATTACGAACCAGGATGACGCTGTCTCAATGTCCACTACATCCAATCCTACGGAAGCTATAAGCACTATACTTAATAATTTTAATAATGTCCAGCGTGTTTCTTTTTATTGTGTTTTATATGACATTTTGTTGGCAATTGTTTGCCAAAGTGCAGTTTTTTTACCTTTTTTTTTTATTTTTTTCAAATTTGGCACTCATTGGACCTCTAATTGCAATAAGCAATTTTGTAGCTGCCACTGGTCATAGATATATAAAAAAATATAATAAACATTTCATATCGTCAATTCTTAAATCAATGAAATACACACTCGAATTGTATGCTTTATCATTATTCGCCTGTACTTCACCATTCGATTCTTCCTCATATTCTTCAACTATCATATCTTGGAATTTATCTATACAATAGTAAAACGAGACAGAAGTATTTTAAAAAATATGAAAAATACTTAATTATGTAAATTACATTTACCTTCATACTCAGCATCATGTCCCATTACAATTATCTCATTTTCTGAGTCCATGTTAATATTTTTTATACAACTAGGTCTCTATWATTAGCAGGTAGTAATATTATATTATTAATATATAAATCACGTTTAATAGCTAATAAATATTGTAGAGAACTAGAGAATATTCATAATATTCATATTTTAATTTGGTTTGGTGTAGAAATTGATAATGATTGTTGTGATAACAGATAATAAGGGGAAATTCAGGTTTAGGGTGGGGACGGATCGGAATCGGTATTTTTCGACCATCTCGCTACAGCGTTCGAAAAAAAGTGAACCGGTGTGTCTCGATTCTTAACCTGTTTAGTCCAGCGAATTTCTTAATACTGCTCCGGTTTACTTTTTAAGGGGAAATCTACACCGGTTTAGTCTGGCGAATTTCTTGCATGTTTAACAAAATTTTTCCACATGYCAGAATCCACTCTTTGGATGCCTTCGATTAATAACCGGTTGACATCATGAAGCTTGAAAGTTGAATTATTCATTCTGACGTAGTTTTTTACACTAGACCATGCGACCTCAATCGGATTGAGCTCACAATGATACGGTGGTAATCGAAGTACATCTTTATTATGTGTAGGTTAGGTTAATTATTATTTTATTATAAGTTGTGCTGGGGCTTCTGCAGTCGGTGGGCCCCAGTGATCGACGCTCTTCCTGCCGCCGGAGGTTGTTGAGTCACTGCGTGCACGTAGTTCTATATTCTAGAATGGGGAGGGAGGGTTATTTTGAATTGTGCTTTACTATAAAATCGGTACCAGTCTTGCCAATGGTACGGTATTTGTCGGGGGATTACGGTAATTTCATACTCCGTACGGCCGGAGTACGGTCACCCCATAATAGACCAAATATTACGGTAAATTCAAAAAAAAAAAAATTAACCATATTCGTAGTAATTATTTTGTATTTTATTTTATTTTTATATTATTATTATGTATTAATAGGGCCGGATTTGACGGGGGGCTTTAGGTGCACTTGCCCCGGGCAACAGATGTTTGGGGGTATCCGATATCGAAATACTAAAAAAAAAAAATTAAATTTATATAATATTGAACTTAGAACCTGACTCTGACATTTAATCATGATATTGTGTGGACTGGACTAAGATGGTGCTTAGTTTATCCCTAGTTAAAAACCATAGAATTTCCCCTTAAAAGAAAACAGAGTTAATCAGATACATTTTATATTTAGCTTTAAGTAATATACAAGAACATCTTAACATAAGGATGTTAAGATCTTTATTGGTGCGATATTAAGATAAGACCAGAGAAGTAAAAGGTGTTATAATATATATATATAAAATGTAACAATTGTTGAAAAACTGGTATTTTACAATATCCTAATTAACTATAAAGTGACATTGATACAATAAACCGCAGACTATAACATAAAAGCTGATATTACCTATATTAGTTACTTACAGTATTCTATACCCTGTTTAACAAATAAGTGGAGTTATTTTTTTTTAAATATGAGTGACAATGACTCAAGTGATTATGATGAGCGTCCTGTACGGTGTATTTCTGGTCAAGTGACAAAAAGATTGTGCCATAAAAAACAAAAATTCCGTGAAGATTGGACGAGAATGGAGTGTTTTAAAAAATGGCTAAACCCTGTGAAAGATGATGTTATGAAAGCATATTATTGCAGTTTTTGTAAAATTCATATGATTTCAGAACTTTCAACAATTAAGAAGCATGCAAATACATCCAGACATAAACTCAACTTTAAATCTATGACAGGTTCGAAATCAATAATATCTACATTCCCAAAAATTGACGAAACAGTTATCCGAAAAAATAATGCAGTTAAAGTRGCTGAAATTAAACTATGTGGTTTTTTATCAGAACATAACATATCATTCCTAACTGTAGATCACCTCAGCCAACTTTTAAAAGAATGTTTTGTTGACTCAGAAATTGCTAAAAATATAAATTTAAAAAGAACAAAAGCAACTAATATTGTTAAAAATGTAATTGGAAAATGCCACAAAGAAGAATTAAGAACACTTTTAAACAACAATCATTTTAGTATAATTATTGATGAGAGCACAGATGTTGGAACAATAAAAACAATGTGTATCTGTGTTYGGTTTTTTAATCCGACAACAAAAAAAATAGAAACAATGTTTTGGAGTTTAGTTGAAGTATTTAAAAACTCTGAGTCTGCCAATGAAGGTGCTACAGCACAAAAATTATACGCAGAAGTTATTAAATCTTTTAAAGACGAAAAAGTGTGTCTTAAAAATGTTATTGGTTTTGCTTCTGATGGATGCAATACTATGATGGGCGCATGGAAATCAGTAGCCAGTAGATTTTTGGAAGACTTCCCAGGTGTAATGATTCAAAAGTGTATTTGTCATTCCTTAGCTTTGTGTGTCAGTGAAGCATGTAAAGTACTTCCACGCAGGTAATAACCCTACATAAACATATTATTATATATTAACATTATATTTCAATGTTTTTTAAACATGTATAATACATTGTAATATTCATCAAAATATTTAATGTTAAGATGTGAAGACTTAGCTCGAGATGTTTACAACTTTTTTAAGTCAAGTTGTAAGAGATATGCCCAATTGAAAGAGTTTCAAGATTTTTGTACTGTAGTGCCAMATCACTTGCTTCGGCCATGTCAAACTCGTTGGCTATCTTTAGAAATGGTGGTTTGTCGTATTTTAGAACAATGGCAACCACTTAAAATGTATTTCACTCTGCATAGGTTTGTATTTGATTTTCCATCGGCACTTACAACCTATAAACATAAGTACAAAACTATATTCTATTTTCATTGATACAGATTTGATGAGCGTGTAACAAGTGGAGAACACATATATAATTGCTTACACGACCCACTTCTACTTTTTTTAAAATTTTTAGAATGGGTTCCACCAAAATTTGTCAATTTGAACAAACTCTTTCAAAGCGARAAAAGTGTTATAGCTATATTATATTCTAAAATGGAAGAAACCTACACAGGTTAAAAAAATAATCTTGTCATTTAATAAAAACATTTAGAAACACATTTATAATTTAAGATTAATTATTTACTTGTTTGTTATTATTAGAGTTATTGTTTTCATATATGAAGAAAGTTCATAATCCATTGGATGTGGATCCAGATGATTCAACACTTTTTCTTCAGTCTAATGACATGTATTTGGGGATAGGTGTTTTACAGATGACCAGCCAACCAGATATTAGTAGTAATCATGATATGTTATCTGTATTCCATGATAGATGTAGACAATTCTTAATTGAAGGCTGTAAACAAATTAAAAAAAGGTGAAATTAAAATATAAATTTTATACTTACACTTACATACATCTAATTTGTGTTTTTATAAAAATTCTAGGTTTGATTTTAAGTGTGTGATTTTAAAAATTATAACTCACCTACAACCTGTTAATGTATTAGGAAACAACAAACTGTCTTCACTAGTTACAATTTTTAATGAAGTACCTAGAATACTAATCGCATATAATAACTCGGAGATACAAACAGTTGATGATGAATGGAGAAAGTTGCATGCTTTAGAAATCACTGATGATATAAAGCAAACCAAAAATACTGATGAGTTTTGGTATCATTTATATAATATGCAACGTGAAGGGGAATTTATTTTTAAAAAATGTTGCACACTTTGTTTTAAAAGTATTAAGTTTGCCCCATTCATCAGTTGACTGCGAAAGAATATTTTCTAAAGTTAACCTAACGAAAACTAAAGTTAGAAACAAACTTCAAGTACCAGCATTAAATGGCTTACTGTTGTCAAGTGAACTAATGAAAAGAACATCTTGTGTAAAATTTGAGCTAACGAAGTCCATGATAAGCTCTATGAATGTCACGATGTACAATAGACAAACTGTGAATGAARAAGAAAACCTAGTAACCGACGAAACCGAAGCTATTTATTAGTGAACAGTGATAACTGATTATAGTGAAACTATAATAATTTAGCCATATTATTATTTAATTATACCATAATAAGAAATTATTGCTTATAACTTTAATCAAGAGTGGTAGCGACGAGTGCCGCTAGCATGGCATCACTGACGTAACTTATTTCGTATTGGTATCACTGCTAGATACCTGGTATAAGCCTTATCACATTTCTTATCACACTCTGGGAGAACTAGTAGCAAGGTGGATTTATAAATTTATAAATTTATAAATCCACCTTGACTAGTAGGTACCCCAAATATATCATATATATATAATATCAAATAAAAAATCAATAAGTACGGTAATATTGTTCATAGTACGGTAATTTTGTCATATTTTCCCCGCTAACTAGATAATAAACATTGGCATCACTGATCGGTACGTTGATCGATAGCGGCCAACAAACAAACACGTCTGTTGTGCCTCGTACAGCCGTAAATTATATTACCATCGTAGACGTAATATAACACCGATTTGTTCAMTTTAATTTTCAAATCACCCACGAGGCCGTGTATTTAGGA